ATCTGAAGGCTATTAACCGAAAAGAATGAAACGTAATAGATTTCGTAAAATATTGTTTTATCTCATTCGCTCTTATTTTCATCTCATTGTCGCTTTCTTTTATAAATATTACTCAAAATTATAATATTAATTCTATAATTACTATTCTAACATTAGATTATACCACACGACGTGAAACTTTTATATCATAAAAATTAAAAAATATTTTTAGATATGTGTTGCGTACTTACCATCGCAATATGACCCAACAGACAAATTTTGTCAGACCGACCAGGCTCACTGACTGAGGACTGACACGGACCACGGACGGCACGGACTCACGTCAACTGAACAACTGAAGCACATGTACTTACGCATGCTAGCATGTCCGCACTGTTGCCGATAATTTTGTCAGTCACGCACGCGCAGTACTGATTAAATTCAAGCGCGATAGATCGCGAGCAATAAAAAGACAGCCTTAACACAATATTGTTTCACTTTTTTGTTCTTAATTTTATTTAAAAATCTTTTGATAGAAATATTAAAAAATAAAAAAATTAATTTGATAAAATAATATTGTAAAATAATAATTGTAAAAATAATAACATTAATTGTATAAAATAATATTAATAAATTAAATTAATACTTTTCATAAACATTATAAACAAGAGCATAAAAATTCAATTTATATATTTGAAATTAATTCGAAAATTTTGTCCAAAACTTATCTCAAATTTTGTAGGCAAATTACAAAAAGAATATTCTGTAACATATGTATAATTAATGTAGATACTGTGTTAATAGATTTAGTAATCGATTCTGTATAATGTTTATGTTTGATGTTAAATAACTATATTATGTACAATAATATTTGTTTTATATTAAACATCAAAAATAAAAGTCGTATACGCACACGCAATTAGTGTGAATAAATTGCAAAAATTCGTGAATAAATACAAAATATCATCTCAAAAACAAAATGAATCTTACTCAAACATATTTAATATAAATTATATAAAATAATACATTATTTATTTATCAATTAATACAAAATATATTGTAGAATATTTCATATAAAACCTTTAAATAATTAGATATCACGAGTTGCAGATAATAGTACAATAAATAAATGCACATAATTATATCACGAAATAATTAAATGTTTAATTATTGAGATCTATTTTAATTAAGGTTACTTTCATTTATTTTAGTTTATTTTTATTTATTATCGTTGTCTTAGTCTAAATTTAGTAAAAAGGCAGTGCAAAAGAGCTTTAAAGTAGGCAATATAAAGAGCAGTATCAATTATTTATTTATTCAGTTTAAAGGAAAGAAAAGGAATTTATCACGAAATAATAAAAAAATTAAATATTTATTCTAGAGTTAAATATTAAAATATATAAAAAAAGAATATAACATTTTTTGTAGAATATAAAAATAAACTTTATGTTCTATAATTTTCTGATACTTATGATTGTATTATTAAAACAAACTGAATATAAGTAAAACAAAATTGAATAGAAATAAAAAATGCAAGTACAAAATATAGCAGAATATGTAATTAAAGATGATATAAAAAATTTACCGCTGTTGCTTATCCATAAATGATATCTGTTATCAGTCTGCAATGGGAATCTATATAAACGTTTTCCTAGAGATCTTGAACTCGTACAGTTTTTATACATGCACTTATCGTAAAAAGTATCTAAACGGCACTGATTAGACATTTTCTTTATTTTTTATAACTATTGTTATTTTTTATAATATTATTAAAACGTGAACAATTTTGCACTTATCAGAACAACGCACTTCGCACACAAACACAAAAAATCCTTTACAGATAATTTTGCGTGTAAAATCCTTTACGGACAATCGCGAAGCACGACTAACACAAAACAGCGCGTATACTTCTCTCACGAGATTATCAAGATAGAGAGTGATACGTCGACTCGCAATTGCTCGCAATATGATCTCTTCCCTCCTCTACCCTACCACACATTCAGATGTTCTTTCCGAAAATTCTTACAGATTCTTACGGATATCTCAATATCGAAGTGTGTGTATGCGTATGCGCATGTGTATATCTGTACACGAGCATTTGCCATGCAATTTTCATAATTTACTTTTTCGAGAAACTTTCTTTCTATGGTACTTTAATTCGCAAAATTCGGGACACCTTATATATATATATATATATATATATATATATACATTTTTGTACACGTGGTATATGTATTAAATAAAAAATATTAATATACATATATTATATTATATAACAATTTTTGTATAATTTAAAGTATAAAGTATATTTAATTATTCATTTAATTTCATTTAAATATATATTATTATAGAAATTTTTTTTTATGATAAATTATTTTCCATAAGTTTTATTTTTTTTATTATTTTTATTTTATAATATTATGTTAATTTTTTGTTATTTTTATACAAATATATTTATTTTATTTTCAATATTTATTTTCTTATTTTTTTTTATATTTTTTGTGCAATCAATTTAATTTTCAGGGATGTTATTTTTGTAAATGAATATAAAATTATTGAAAATATTTTATAAATACAATTGATTTATTATTTCTTATTTTTTATTCATTTACAATTCTGAAAAAAAAAAAAAAAAAAAAAAGAAAACATATGGTCTTGAACTCTGATCTTCGTCGTATTCTGGTCTATCAATTGTGGATGTAGCACGGACATGAACTAAATTTGGCTCTTTTACCGACATCGAAAGTGGATGTGGCCATGTAGTTCCAGACGCTCGTAAAATGGATGTACGTGACGCTAGTGAGCAGCCTAGAAAAAGCGTTTGACGAAAAACGGCGGCGTGGCCTCTCTCATTCTTCTCTCTGCTAGAGTCCCGCATTTCCGCGCGTTCCGTTCCGTCTGTTTTGATTGCCTTATATTACATGGAGCACATTTTGAGCGGAAAAGCGGAACGGGGAATTATAAAATATTAATATTTAAGGGTCGACAGGTCGGTCGGCCAAACTCCGAATTGATGTTGGAGACCTCGCGCGGTGACAACGCGAAACTCCGATTTCAGTGTTGCCAACGCCGAGAAATCAATTCTCGGGTTTTATGTAGTGGTGCATGTCTGTACACGTACATACACCATTGCATTGCTCACGCGGACGCACCGTAGAGAGACAAGGACCGATAATCACGTGTTCTCCTTGTTCCTCTACCGTGCCGGTATACGCGAGATGCCGCCTGAAAATGCTTTCTGGCCTTCCGTAGCAGTAGCGTAGCAAGGCTAATAAGTACCTACTTTTTATAAATTTTATATATCCTTATGCACATATGTGCGTATATATATATATATATATATATATATATATATATATATATTATATAAGGGATATGTTGATTATTCTTGATTTCTTTTTGATTATTGATGCTATTGTATAATTTGCTCCAATAACTTGTAACGTGAAAGAACGTACCGTTGAGTAATATATAATCGATCAATGCAAGGATGTTCAGTATATCATCCAGTAAATTAGAGTTCAAATATATCAATATCAATTTTTTTATAATACAATATATATATATATATATATATATATATATATTGGAATATAGAAAAATGATAAAATATATTTCGGCGATTTAAAAATTTTTTAATATATTGAAAATATTTTTACTACATATATATAAGTGTAAAATAATTCAGAAAATAAATTTAATAAAAATCTACATACCAGCTGTGTGCATGTGTGCAATTGATTTATTGAAATTTATTTACGGAAGTATTTTGCATTTATATATTTATAGTGTGTGTAGTTGTAAAATGATTAAAATATTTTCAATATCAAATTTTTAAGTTTATCGCTATATAAAAAATATATTTCTATGATTTTCTATATTCTAATATATTATAAAAAAATTGATATTGATATATTTGAACTCAAGTTTTTTACGTGATTAAATATTCTTGCATTGAGCCATCATACGTTACTCGTAAGTTCTTTCATATCTGTATATATATATATATATATATATATACACTTATATATATATATTATATATATATAATATTTTATTTATTTATAAAATACATTTTTAATTCATATTTGTTCACGAACGCGCTGCGTGAGAGGAGGTCGCGCTGCACTAAGGCTAAGTCACTCTCTTTTGTATAAAGAATTTAATGCTTAAACACACGTAAATACAGAACACTCAGACAAGACTTATAACAACTGTTAATAATTTCACAGGAAAAGAACGTAATCGAGATCAGAGTACAAAATAAGCGGTGGTCGTCAACGAATTTTGCGGTTTATCTATCAAGCGGTTACGATATGCGGTTCACAGCGGAAAAGCGATAAAAGCTGCACGCCGAATGTGGGCTTTTCCTTTATAGGTTTTCAGGACGGAACCCACTCTTACGTAAAGCGCCAATGATCTCGAGTATTTTGAATATTGCGCGGGGTGACCTGAGCGCATCACTCGTGATTGGCCGCTGTAAAATTAGACTAAACGCGTGTTCTAAGAAGGCATGCGTAAGCGGGCGATCGCGGTAATTATTGGTTAATCGAGGCGTCCGTAAGAATTCGCGCATGCTCGCTGTAACCGGACTATTCGGCGGAACGGTTACAGTACCGTTAGTTGTTGTTAGTTGATAGGTTTTTTTTGTGACAGATTGATTTATTACATGGTTTTTTTCCTTGAAATACATATAAACTATGTCTCTATTTGTTATGATTTTCAATCGACCCGTCTAGAATATTCGATTAGGCGTTTCAAACATCCCGCCCGCCTTGTCGCGCAGTGACAATATACCGACGAGTTTCGGCCGTGGAATCACAAGTCGATCGTGATCGATGGTGGGGCGCGCGCGCGCTGGCGCGGTGGCAAGCACGTGGTGATCGCGTGACTCGAACAGCTGAGTCGATGGGAACACGTGGTGATCGTATTGTGCGGATCGATCAGCTGAGGCAGAAAAATGCGGGTTTGACGTGGAATGGCGGGTGTGTAATGCAGTGCGGTGAGGGACTGGTGAATGTTTACGGGCTGACGGCCGGCACGTCCGCGCTGTTTATGCTCGGAAGGGGATCCGCGCGCGGCAGCAAGACGAGCTTGACGAGCGGGCGCACAAGCTCAGAAGTGGCGGTGCGGATTGTCACCACGCGGACGATACCGTCGTTCCCGGGATGCAACCTCGTGATCCGGGCGAGAGGCCATCGGGTCGGGGGGGTGAGCTCCGAACGCAGGATGCAAAGATCACCGACGTGGGGTGCGGCCTCGGCCTTGAGCCACTTAGTGCGTGGATTGAGTCCGTGGATATATTCCTTCGACCACCTCCCCCAGAAGTGCTCTCTCATTTGCTGGAGGTGTTGCCATCGCGATCTCGTGTCTCCATGTTCGCCTCCCTGCGGTGGCTCAGGGATGGCGAGAAGGGGCGCCCCGATCAGGAAATGTCCAGGAGTTAGTGCTGAAACATCGTCTGGATCGTCCGAGAGTGCCTGCAATGGTCGAGAATTGAGGCATGCCTCGATTTGAGTGAGGAGGGTACTCAGTTCTTCGAAAGTGAGGGTGGTTTCGCCTATCACCCTCCGCAGATGGTACTTAGCTGACTTGACTGCAGCCTCCCATAATCCACCGAAATGCGGAGCCGCCGGCGGATTGAAGTGCCAGCGGATGCCTTCCTTGGCGGCTGCGCGTGCGATTCCTTCACCCTCCGAAGACGCTGCAATAAAGAGTTCCCGTAGGGTGCGGTCGGCTCCGACGAAGGTCGTGCCGCAGTCGCTGAAGATGTCGGCACAGAGACCTCGTCGAGAGACAAATCGACGAAGGGCGGCGATAAAAGCTTCCGACGAGTAGTCCGATACGAGCTCTAGATGGATGGCCTTCGACCAGAAGCAGATGAAGAGTGCAATGTAGCCCTTGTAGGCGCGGTGGCCGCGACCTTTGCTGGTCCGAATGAGGATTGGTCCCGCGTAGTCCAGTCCAGTGCGGAGGAATGGTCGCGTTGGCGTGACCCTGCTGCGTGGCAGACTGCCCATGGGTGGTTGTGGTGTCGTCGCTCGCCACCTTGTGCACGTGACACAGCGATGAAGCCGCTGTTTTACCGCTGCACGTCCTCGGGGTATCCAGAAACGCTGTCGAAGCAAGCCTAGGGTCAACTGCACCCCTCCGTGCAAGGTCCGGCGGTGATGAGCATCGATCAACAGTCGAGTCAGCCATGAAGTTGTTGGCGCAATCATCGGATGTCTCTCGTCCTGTGACAAGAGCGAATTTTTTAAGCGTCCTCCTACTCTCAACACGCCACGTGTATCGGCGAATGGAGCTAGTTTGGCCAACGGACTGCGTGTTGCGACAGTGCGGCCTGCAGAAACAGCGGTGACCTCGTCAGGGAAGTGGAGTGCTTGTACCTCTCGTAGCCAGTGTGATAGAGCTCCGTCTAATTCGTCTGCGGTGGGTGGCTGTCCAGGGGTGACAGTTGGTGCAACAGTGCGAAGCCAGCGACGACACCATACTGTGACTCGTAGCAGGTGGTTCAACGACGAAAAGCGGAGGAGGAGCTCAGGTTCCATGACGACCAAGCTCCTCGTCATCAGGCTGCCGGCTCGTCTCTCGATAAGGTTGTCTTCTCGGGTGTCCACTTCGGTGAGCGGCCATGCCGCCTCTTCCTCCAGCAACCAGGTAGGTCCTGTCCACCATAACGTATGATTTACCAATTCCAACGGACTAATGCCCCTCGATGCACAATCCGCAGGGTTGTCTCGACCAGCCACATGTCTCCAGAGTGCGTTCGGCAGTAGGGTCTGGATGTGAGACACCCGGTTGGCAACGAAGGTCTTCCATCGCGAGGCGTGTCCCTGGATCCACTGGAGCGTGACCTTCGAGTCCGTCCACAGATGCGTGGGTGCATCTCCCAAGTTGAGCGTGCGTTGCACATGCTGAGTCAGTGTGGTGAGTAAGGCGGCGGCGCAGAGCTCGAGTCTCGGCAAGGTCACTTGCCTGACAGGTGCCACCTTGCTCTTGGCCATTAGTAGTGTCACTGACGTTTCATTTTTTCCAGCGATGCGGAGGTACACGGCGGCAGCATACCCGCGCTCGGACGCGTCGGCGAAGCCATGTAGCTGCAGCGATGAGTCCACATCGCCCGTGCCGAGCCAGCGAGGCATCCTCAGGCGGTCGAGGAGATGGAGGCCACCCAGCAGTTGCTGCCAACGATGAGCGTCGGCTGGCGGCAGTTGAGCATCCCAATCTAACCCCTGAAGCCACGTAGTTTGGATGAGGATCTTCGCGCGGATGACGACAGGAGCGAGCCAACCCAATGGATCGAAGAGCCGTGCGGTTTCAGAGAGAACCCGTCTCTTCGTATATTTCTCTACGGACGGTGGAAGCAGTGTGAAGGAGAACTCATCATCTTGAGGATGCCATCGAAGTCCTAGCGTTGAGTGACTCTCTCCTTCCCATGCACGCTGGGACTGCTGCATACGATGATCCTGAGGAACGCCAGTTAGGATCTCTTCGTGGTTGGCTGCCCATTTTCGTAACGGGAACCCGCCCGCCTTGCAGAGGTTGCGTAGCTCCTCCTGAAGCACGATTGCTTCGTCGAGCGTGGTTGCTCCGGTGACTACGTCGTCGACATAACAATCCCGTCGCAAGGCCACCGAGCCGCGAGGAAAATGTTCTTCCTCGTCCTTGGCCAGTTGCTGAAGAGTCCGTATGGCGAGGAATGGAGCGCAACTGAGGCCGTAGGTGACCGTCCTCAGTTGGTATTCATGCACTTCATCGTCAGGAGAGTGCCGCCACAGGATCGTCTGGAAACTGCAGTCGTCTGGATGCACGAGAATCTGCCGGTACATTTTTTCTATGTCGGCGACGAAGACGTAGCGGTGTTGACGCCATCGGAGCAGCACGTCGGCTAGCGGCGGAAGGAGGTTTGCGCCGGTGTGGAGGTGCGTGTTCAGCGATTCCCCGGCTCGTGTTCGCTGCGATCCGTTGAACACGACTCTCAACTTGGTGGTGGTGCTGGATTCCTTGAAGACCCCATGATGCGGTAAGTAACACTTGCCCTGCCGGTCAGTCGACGCCGTGGCTAACTTCGTCATGTGTTGTAGGTCCTCGTACTCGCGCAGGAAGCTCCGGTAGAGATCACCAAAGCGAGGGTCCTGGATGCAGCGTCTCTCCATGGCCATCAGAAGACGTTCCGCTGGCTTGCGAGTCTCCTCCAGTTTTGTCGGTGGTGAGGAGAACGGCAACCTCACCATGTATCTCCCAGAGGCAGTGCGAGTGTGACTGCGCACAAAGAGCTCCTCGCTCCCTTGTTCGTCGGGGGTGAGAGACGTGACAGCGGTGGGCTCCTGTTCCTGTTCCCAGAATCGACGCACCAGGTCAGCGAGGTCGTAATCAGCAGTGATACGGAGCGTGCGTCGGTGATCCGCGGTTGCTGCTGCATCAGATCCCCCGGAGAGAATCCAACCCAGGATAGTTTTCTGGGCGATCGGCATTTCTGGACCGCCCTTGCGTACGCCCTCCTCAATTATGAAGGAGCAGACCTCCGCTCCTAGGAGCAGTTCAGCCGGGTCGTCGTCCTGGAAGTTGGGGTCGGCCAGCTGAAGTCCCTGGATATGAGGCCAGCGTTTATCCGTCTTTGAGGTGGGGCCCTGTGTCATCACGAGGCGCGGCAGGATATAAGCCACCACGGAGAGCTCGGCGTTGGTCACGTCTGACGTTACCTTCAACGTGATCTTGCCGCGGATTGGTCCTGGGCGGGCTCCTCCGACCCCGGAGATGGATAGTCCCGTGTGCGCTCGAGGTAGTCGCAAGCGTTGCGCCACTGTCTCGGAGACAATGGATAGCTCGGAACCCTGATCGAGCAAAGCTCGCACTGAGTGCGGAAATCCATGCCTGTCAGCGATGTGGACGCGCGCAGTTGCTAAGAGGACGGCCTTTCGATCCTCGTTCTGATGTGTAGCGGCTAGTGTCGTGGCAAGTGTGGAAACTGATGCGGTGGCAGGAGTGTTGATCTCCGACGATGAAGACGTGGTGGATGCCCCGTGCAACATCGTGTGGTGACGTGCGTTGCAAGTGAGGCAGGCCTTCTTCGATTGGCACCGTGAGATAAAGTGGTTCCCCAGGCAGTTGTAGCAGAGCTTGTGCGTTTCCACGAAGGCTCTGCGTTCCGCTGAGGACTTGGCCTTGAAGTCTCGGCAGGCCATGAGGGCGTGTTTCTCGCGACACAGTGCACATTGTGGGGTTATCGGTCCGTGCTTAGTGACGTGGGATCTCGCGCTTCGGGTTGTATCTCCTGAAACTTTGGTGACTCCCTTTGGTCGTGCGGCGTTGAGCGTCAGAATTCTGCGGCCGATGAAGTCGAGAAGTGTCTCGTGTGATGGTGGTTCAGTGGATCCCGATGTGGATGATTCCCATTCGAGACGGGTGGTTGAGTCAAAGAGTTCAGTGACCAAGTAATTGAAGAGGTCCATCCCGTGCGTGTCGATCGGGCGACCGATGCTCTCCTGCGCGTTGACGACGGTGGTGACGACGTTGTGGATGCGGCTCAGCTCGTCGGCGGTATCTCCCTTCATCTTGGACACATTGACGAATGCGGCAAAATTGGAGCGGATGAGTTCTCTTTTATTCTCGTAGTGTTTGCTCAAGATCGCCCAAGCGCGATCGTAATTATCGCCGATGACAGGTAACGATCTGATTAATTTTTCAGCTTCTCCGGTCACACTTGAGCGCAGGTGATGAAGACGCTCAATTTTTGAGATTGACCCATTGTTCCCGACAATGGAAAGGAAAAGATCCCTGAAGGATGGCCAATCTGCGTAGGTGCCAGAGAACTGTGGTACCTTGATGCGTGGCAGCGAAGATCGTGATGCGACGTCGGTGGCTGGACGCATGGGCGTCGATGCGAATCCCTCGGCGTAGTCATCCAATGTGCTCCGCTGCGTTACGTACAGGTTCTCGGTATCTTCGTGTAACCCTGATTTGAAGTAATCGCTGTCACTGAACCTTTCTTTCAGCGCAGCGCGGATGAGGTCGTGCTGAGCCTCAAATTTCGTCCAAAGCTGGTCGAGGATTCGGGTGCGTGTACTGACGGCACTGGAGGTAATGTTGGCGTTGCCCAGCTTCCTCAAATATTCCACTGAGCGTGAGATGCGGACGTGGATCTCCCGTTGGCAGTCGATCAACGTGCCCACCTCCATGTTGATGCACGCACTCTCACTAGCCGCACGAAGAATCGCGTTCACGAACTTGCGGTTGCCGGTGCGTGTGATCCGGCTCGAAGGACCAAAATTATGTTCACGAACGCGCTGCGTGAGAGGAGGTCGCGCTGCACTAAGGCTAAGTCACTCTCTTTTGTATAAAGAATTTAATGCTTAAACACACGTAAATACAGAACACTCAGACAAGACTTATAACAACTGTTAATAATTTCACAGGAAGAGAACGTAATCGAGATCAGAGTACAAAATAAGCGGTGGTCGTCAACGAATTTTGCGGTTTATCTATCAAGCGGTTACGATATGCGGTTCACAGCGGAAAAGCGATAAAAGCTGCACGCCGAATGTGGGCTTTTCCTTTATAGGTTTTCAGGACGGAACCCACTCTTACGTAAAGCGCCAATGATCTCGAGTATTTTGAATATTGCGCGGGGTGACCTGAGCGCATCACTCGTGATTGGCCGCTGTAAAATTAGACTAAACGCGTGTTCTAAGAAGGCATGCGTAAGCGGGCGATCGCGGTAATTATTGGTTAATCGAGGCGTCCGTAAGAATTCGCGCATGCTCGCTGTAACCGGACTATTCGGCGGAACGGTTACAGTACCGTTAGTTGTTGTTAGTTGATAGGTTTTTTTTGTGACAGATTGATTTATTACATGGTTTTTTTCCTTGAAATACATATAAACTATGTCTCTATTTGTTATGATTTTCAATCGACCCGTCTAGAATATTCGATTAGGCGTTTCAAACAATATTCAACCTGAATGATATTTTCTATATGTTTATGCTATCCTCCGATCTATCCCTAACAAATTAGGAGGTGTAATTGCATTATTATCATCAATTATTATCTTATATTTTTTACCTCTAATTTCTATAAAATTTAATTCATTATCATTTTATCCTTTAAATCAATATTTATTTTGAATTTTCATTAATATTTTTATTCTATTAACATGAGCAGGAGCTCAACCTTTTATCATTATTAGACAAATTTTATCATTATGTTACTTTCTTTATTTTATCTTATTACCTTTCCTAATAAAAATTTGAGATTTAATTATTTTTAAATAAATATTTTAAAATTTATTATTATAAATAAATTTAAAATATTAAAAATAATTATATTCAATATTTAAATTTTTTATAAATTACTATTAAATTAAGTTAATAATCTTGAATTTAAGTTTATGTTTTGAAAACATATTAAAGAAATTTTAATTTTCTATTAACTTTTAAACATTTAATTTTTTTTACTAAATTATTATTAATAATATAAATTTAAATCCAAAAATTAATAAAATATAAACCAAAATTATTGGTAAAATAATTTTCCAACATAAATATATTAATTTATCATATTGTATTCGAGGAAGTATTCCATGTATAAAAATTACTATTCTACATAAAATATTAATTAAAATAAAAGTTAAAATTATTGAATATTTTAATAAATTCCTAAATATATAAATTCTAATTAATCTAAAAAAATAATTATTCCATATTCAGATAAAAAAATTAATGTAAACCCACCCCTAAAATATTCAATATTAAATCATCTGACTCACTTTCGATAAAATCTATAGGACTTCGATTTAATTCAGCTAAAATCCTAATAAACACTATAATAAACAAAGGATATAAAACTACTATATATCATAAATAAAATTGATAATTAATAAAATCAAAAAAGAATATCTCTCTCTTATTAATATAATAACTAAAATAATTAAAATAAATCTTACTTTATATGATAATATTTGTGAAACTGATCGTATTGCTCCTATTATTGAATAAATCGAATTAGCTGATCATCCCATAAAAATTATAACATACCCTCTAATAGTTATAAAAACAATTATTAATAAAATAGAATAATTTAAAAAATAAATATTAGTAATGTAAGGAAATACTAATCATATTATTATTAAAACAAATCTAATTATAGGACATAAATAAAAAAAATTATAATTAGATTTATATACATAAAATAATTCTTTATTAAGTAATTTAATAGCATCACTAAAAGATTGAAATAATCCTATAAATCCCACCTTATTAGGTTCTTTACGAATTTGTACATATCTTAAAATTTTTCGTTCCAATAAAGTTAAAAAAGCTACCCCAACTAATATAATTAATAACAAAATTAACAATCTTAATATATTTAACGCACTATAAAAATATAATCTTAAATTTTGACAAATTATTACTTGTATAACTTTTTTCTATTATACATCATTAAAATTCTAAATTTAATACACTTAAATTTTGCCAAAGTAATTTTATTTATTTACATATATTTGATCAATTAAATTTATTCATTAAAAAAAATATAATTTAAAAAAAAGTCCTTTTGTACAAAATTTTCTTAATTTTATTATAGATAGAAACCGATCTGGCTTACACCGATCTGAACTCAAATCATGTAAAATTTTATTAGTCGAACAGACTAAAATATTAAACTTCTTTATTTAATTTTTATTTTAATTCAACATCGAGGTCGCAATCATTTTTATTAATATGATCTTTCTAAAAATATTACGCTATTATCCCTAAGGTAATTAATTTTTATAATTATTATAAAAAAAAAAAATTTTCTTAATTTAATAATCAATCCTTTATAAAAATTTCATTAATTAATGTTAAAATTATCTTTAAATTAAAGTTCATTTTATTTAATTATCCTCCCAATAAAATATAATCATTAAAATAAAATTTATTTCCTTAAATAAAAAAATTATATTAATTTAATAGGGTCTTCTCGTCCCATAATTTCTTTTAAGAATTTTAACTTAAAATTTAAATTTTAAATCTACAAATTAAAACAGCTTTAATCAATTCCTTCATTCCAGTTTTCATTTAAAAAACAATTGATTATGCTACCTTTGCACCGTCAATATACTGCGGCTATTTAAAAATCACTGAGCAGAAATAATTTTAAATTATTATCAAAAAACCATGTTTTTGTTAAACAAGTAAATTAATGAAAATTAATGTGTATATGCATTACAATATATTCAATACAATATTCTCTTAATTTGAACGAAAATTATAAATAACTTATGCGTAACATATATTTTTGGACTCCTAAATAAAAAATATATTATATTATTTGCAAAAAATAAGATGAAATATTTTTTATTCGAATAGTCTCAACTGCTCTTTTAGCTGAATGTTTAGAAGCAATGAAAAAAATCGAGGATCTACGAAAAATTTAAGTACATTTCTAAGATTTTTTTATATGATATAAAAAAATATATGGTATATAAATTGATTTTTTAATTTTTTTATTAATTTTTAATTACACACACACACACACAAATAGATTCTTATTATTTAAAATAGTTTTTATTTTTGTTCTTTATTTACATATGCATACATATTCAAAAAAATAAAAATAATATGATAGCTTTTTTGCTGACATTATCTCTCAATATTTGCATCCGTGTGCTCACGTATTAGTGTTTGTACCTACATGGACGCTACTACATATGCGATGTAAGAGAGACAAAGATGGAATGATGCTCTCTCCTTGTCAAGCAGTCAGCATGTTACCACAGAAATTTCCCCTGCTCCTTATGAATCTAGTGAGAATCTTATCGTCCAGATATTTCATAAAATAAGTGACATAACTTCGTGAATTTTTTTTAATATATTCTTTATATAATAAAGCAGTCCTCTAAAAGGCCGGATTTTACATTTTCGCTCTTAAAAATTTATAATAAATAAAATACGGACTCGCGGCTAACCCAACCTTACCCGTTCCTAGCTGTGCATTCCCCCAAGTTTATTAAAAATTTTTATTTTTATCTTTTTTTCATAAAATAGCTCTTTAGAGGACTACAAATGAGCTTACTGATTAAGAATATCCTCAATTTAATAAGATTCATTCAATATTTTCGCTAATATCTGGAAAATAAGAATCCGTAATTCCCGGCCGGCCGATAGGCGTCTCCACCATGTCGCCTGTCGACCCTTAACTATATTTATTGATTAAAATGCTTGTATTCAATAGATAAGTTGAAAAGATGAACATATTAAAAGGAATTACAATGAATTAAGTAAATATAAATTTAAAAAATTAATACAAATGTCTATTTGTCACTATACCGTTCCGCTTTTCCGCTCAAAATGTGCTCCATGTAATATAAGGCAATCAAAACAGACGGAACGGAACGCGCGGAAATGCGGGACTCTAGTAAAGTTTAGTTACTTTCTCTTCCGCGTTTCCGCGTTTCCGCGTTTCCGCGCGTCCATGTAATCGCACCCTAAAGGTGCCTTTTCATTTTTCGGTTATACCAAAGAATATAGATGAGTATAGATAAGCACGGTTCTCAGTACTCCGCGGGTCGCACGAGCTGGGATATTTTGCTATAGTTTACGTTACGTATACTGTACTGAAATACTATAGATAGTACATTCTTCTTCTTTTTCTGTATGGCTGCTAAGGCATCTGGGGAATTCGCCTATATGCCATATAGATAGTACAGTATACGTGACGTAAACTATAAAAAAGTACCCCAGCTCGTGCGACTCGCGGGGTACCGAGAACCGTGCTTCTTGGTACTTATTACGGTTCTTTGGGTGAGTTTGCTCACGAGATAAAAATCACAAAAATGAGAGATTCACTAGATTTTGACCAATAGAAGCGTAGACAACCTAGTAAATCTCTCACTTTTGTGATTTTCACCTCGCGAGCAAACTCACCCAAAGAACCGTAATAAGTACCCTAGAGATCGATTGTGTATCTTGGGTGAGTTTGCTCACGAGATGAAAATTACAAAAGTGAAAAGATTTACTAGATATCGACAAATGAAACCGTGGGTACTCTAGTAAATTTCCTCACTTTTGTAATTTTCACCTCGTGAGCTACTCACCCAAGATACACAATCTACCCTCTATACTCGTCTATATTGTGACGTCCTGCCATTGGTCGAAACCCTAATTTTTTCGCGCTAACACCATTTCTTGCGAGAACC